GGTAGCTCTATTTTCAACTTTTTGAGGAACCTCCATACAGTTTTGCAGAGTGGCTGCACCAGCTTGCATTCCCACCAACAGTGTAGGAGGGTTCCCCTTTCTCCGCATCCCCGCCAACATCTGTCGTTTCCTGACTTTGATGACTTTTTTTAATTTTGGAAAATATTCAGTCCTTACCTCTTCAAATATAGCTTCTCCTTTAATCACTCTTTCCTTTCCTTCTGAGATTTCAATTAAAAATAAGTAAATAAAAAAATAAGTAAATCCTTCACACTCTATCCTTTAAGTCTCCTCTGGTTATCTGTTGCTGTATCACAAACTAATTCAAAACTTTAATGGCTTAAAACAGCAACCATTGTATTATACTTGTCAATTCTGTTAAGTCCGAATTCTAGCAGTGCTTGGCTAGGTCATAGTTTTGCTCCTCCTGGTGTCAAATGTAGTGATTCAGTGGTATTCAGCTGGCATCTGGGTTTATCTGGAGGGTCCAAAATGGCTTCACTCACGTGCCTGATGCCTTGGTGGAGAATGGAAAGCTAGACTCTCTGGGACTCTTGACCAGAAGGCCTACATGTGACATCACCAGCATGACAGCACCAGGGTAATCAGATTTCTTACATAGCGGCTGGGCTTCTTCCAGAGAGGGCATCTCAGGAGAACTAGATGTAAGCTACACAGTATTTTCTGAACCAGCATCACTTCCACCACATCTATAGGTCACAAATTTCTGTTATATTGGTCACAAATGAGTCCTAATGCCAGGCCAGATCAAGAGGAGGGGGACTACATCTTACCTCTTGAATTGGAGAATGGCAAGGTCATATTTTACAAGAGCATATAGGACAGAACATATTGGCACATCCATTTTTGGAAAATACAGTTGGCCATAGTCTTTTATTATCTCTTTTGTATTTTCCATTTAAAAAATCTCTGGATGCTGCATTCCATACTATTTCATTTTACTTACCTACTAGTTCACCAATTCTTTCTACATGATGCATAAGTGTTTTAATAACTGTATACAATTCCTAGATCTTAAGTCTCTGAGTTTGTTTTGGCTCTCTGTTGTTTCTGTGGCTTATTTATTTTTTTCATTTTGTTTTGTATCCTTTATCTTTGTGTTCTGGACATTGTATCTGAAATATTTGTGAAAATGAGTTGAGGCCTAGGATGTTGAGAGGTTTTATGTTTTCTTCTGGCAGATGTCTGCAGGCACTGCCAACCCAAGACTTGCATAAATTATGATTAAGAATAGAAATTTGCGCGTCAATGAAGTGAGTTAACTGGTTTACTGTTACCTTGAGGATATAGACCTTTGGGGACCCAGCTTAAAGTGGGCATTGTTTACATCTACTTTTACTCTCTTGATAATACCAACAAGTCTTATCTGAATGCTGTCAATATGCTTATAACTCCCAAATTTATTCATCTTTAGCATGGACTTCTTCCTTGGACTCCAGACTCATATATCCAACTGCCTATTCAACATCTCCACTGGAGGTCTAGTGGGCGTCTCAAACTAAATATGTTCAAAACAGACCCTTGAGTGTTTCCTCAAATAAATCTGTTCTATCTCAAGCCTTCCACATCTCATTAAATGTCACCATCATCCACCTAGTTGCTTAAGAAAAAAACTAAAAATCTTCTTTGAGTCCTTTCTCCCTATTCCCCCCATATTGAATCTAACAGCAAATCCTGTCTGCTTATCCTCAAATTATGCTCAACATCTTTCTGTTTCTTTTGATTTTTACCACCACTCTTTTGGTCTAAATAATCTGTCTTCTTTTACCTGGATGATTACAATCGCCTCTTAACTGGTCTCCCTGCCTCTCTATTCTTGCCCATGGAACTTGTGTTACTGTTTACTTGGTACTCTCTGGAGTTCAGACATACATAAAAAGACCTGCTCTTGCCTCCCCACATCCATCATTTACTAATTTATTCAACAGATATTTGAGTATCTATCACATGCCAGGCACTGTTTAAGGTTCTGGGGATATACCATTGAACACCACCTTCAAAATTTGTGTTCTCAATGAACTTACTTTCTAGTTGGGGAACATAGACAATAGACAAGTAAATGTATACTATTTCAGGTGCTAGTAAGTTCACTGAAAAAGTGTGGCAGGAGCTATATGTATATACAGTGTTCAGGGAAAGCCTGATAAAATGAAACTTAAGCAGCAACCTGGAGGAAGTGAAAGAATGAATAGCAGGATATCAGAGGATGAGACACAAAGTGCAAAGGCCTATAGAAAGGTATACATTTTTTGCATTTGAGGAAGAACAATGAAGCCAGTGTGGCTGGAACAGAGTGAGCAAGAAACAATGGTAGAAGAGATCAGAGAGGTTTCAGAGGGTCAAATCTCAGAAACTTGAAGGCCATGATGAGGGCTTTGGAATTTACTAAGGGTGAGAAGGAAATCCACTGGAAGGTTTGGAGCAGAGAACAATAATCAGAATCACAATTTGAAAATTTGCTTTAGCTGCTGTGTTTGGAAAAGGGCCACGCTGGAAGCTGCAAGTCTAGTTAAGAGGCTATTACAATAATTTGGGTGAGAATTGAGGATGATTTAGACCAGAATGGTAGCCACTGAGATGGAGAGAAATAGCTGGATTCTTTTCCACCTATTCTTTCTTTAAACCACTCCAAAAAGTCTTTTATCTCTATTATTCCATAAAAACTACATTTTCAAGGCCACTGTTGGTCTTTACATTACTAATTCTCAGTCCTCATCTTAGTTGAACTCTCAGTAGTATATGATAGTTGATTACTCCATCCTTGATGTGTGTTCTCACCTGGTCTCTCTGACACCAATTTTCCTTCATTTTTCTACTAACCTCATGCCAATCTTTCTCTTTCAACTTCACTGGTTCTTCATTTCCCTGACCTTTAAATGTTAGACTGCTCTGGGTATTAGTTCTTTGAACTCTCCTCTTTTCTGTTTACATTCATTCTCATGATGGTCTATTCTTATGCAGATAAAATCCAATTGTATATCTCCATCTCAGATATCTTCTTTGAACTTGAGATTCACATATAACCTCCCTACCTTACCATGTACAAAAGTAGTCTCTTAATTTCTGCCCCTTCCCAAAACCTGCTGTTTGTCCAGCCTTTTCCTTGGCAGTCAATGACCATTCCTTCTTTTTAGTTACTCTAAACACTGAAGTTATTCCTAACTCATCTTTTTCTCTCACAACCACATCTAATCCATCAAAGAATCCAATTGGCTTTAATTTCAAAAAACAACCAGAATTTGATTATGAACTGAGTATTGAATAAGATGAAAATGCACTGTAATGGAAAGCTGGAGATGGTTGACTAGGAAACTGGAGAGGTTGGCCTTAGGTGCATAGTCTATTTATTGTCATAAGCATGAAGACAGTATATAGTTACAGATGTCAATAAATGTGTTGGGAGTCTGGAGGTTCACTGCACAAGCATTAGCTATGAATGAGAAGGGCTGTTGGAGAATGGGTTAAAGGGGTTGGAGATTTAAGGAAAAAGTAGAAAATGTAAGAAAGGGGTCCAGGACAGTGGGAAAGTCAGTAGACTAGGGAAATATTCTATAGTTGCTATGCAGCAATAAGGGACCATTTGAGGTAGAGAGCAAGGTCAGACAGTGACAATGAGTAATGAAGAGGGCACCTAACCTTCCTCTAGGACCTCTATTATCTGACCACTACTCATCTTTACTACCTTGTCTCCCATAAACCCCTCCCCCCAGTTTTTGCTGTACTCCAGTCATACTGGTCCTTTTTTGTTCCTCAGATTTGTTCCATTCACAGGGCCTTTGTATTTTCTATTCCCTCTGCTTGGAAACATCTCTCAGAGCTCCATCAGCTGTCCTCTTATCATCATTTAGGTCTCAATTCCACAAAGAGGATTTCTCTGACCACCACAGCTAAAGTAACACCTCCAGTCACTCTCTATCATATTATTTGATTCTGTCTTTTGAATAGCACCATCAAGATTTCCCTATTTATTTTTCTACTAATTATCTCTTGCTCTCCCCAAATGAATGTAAGCTTCTTCTTTACTGTACCCCAGTGTCTACAAATGTGTCTGGCATAAAGTAGGTGCTCAATAAAAATTATTTGTTGACTGACTGACTCTCCTTAAGTTTATTTTATTTTATTTTTTTTAAAAGATTTATTTGTCAGACAGAGAGAGAACACAAGCAGGGGGAGCGGCAGGCAGAGGGAGAGGGAGAAGCAGACTCCCCTGCTGAGGAAGGAGCCCGATGCGGGGTTCAATCCCAGGACCCTGGGATCATGACCTGAGCTGAAGGCAGATGCTTAACTGACTGAGCCACCTAAGCATCTGTCTCCTTGTCTTCCAAATTTCTCTGCGCTTTCTCTTCCTTGCCCAACCTTCCTCTGCTCCCCTAACAACCACATCCTCCCACTTTGCTCCCTGGATCCCCAGTACCATGGAAAACAACTTTCTCTGCATCCTCAACCTCTTCACCACACACTTCACTTCTTCCTCCTGCCTCTCTCAGAACCTTTTCACAAGACTAAGACTACTCCTGCAGCTCATAAGGTTGACTTCCTTCCTGCTTCCCATTGATGCTTCTTGACCCTGATTCCTGTACCCTTTTGTAAGCCCCCTTTCTCCTCCATCTCACTAGAGTAAGAGTTTCATGCCTTCTGGATTTATCATTGTCTTTCATTGTTGGTGTCATCATCTAACCTCCTATTTACTCCTTAGCTTCATCTAGACTTTGCTACCTGGATCTCAGGGTTCTTCCTTCCTTTTTAAGCAATCTTTGGAGTCTCATTCCTGCAGATAAGCTGTGCCTTTTCTATTATTTCAGCACCTGGTAAAGTCAAATGTTGCACTAGCAGGACAGAGGAATGATCAATGCACCCATACCTGTTTCTTACTCACCCATAATCCCAGAGACGCTCCACTGCAGCAATGAAATAGTGTCGTGTTCTCTTTTGAAAGCTGCGGAGGCCCTGATTTTCATCTTCACCATAGATGTCAAAATCTTCTCTCTTCATTTCAATTGAGAAGGTGTCATCATACTCAAATTTGTCTTCCTCTGGCTGAAGAGTACTAAGGGTTATTTCCCTTTGATGGCGTTTTGAGACTGGTGGGTTTTGAGAGCACAACCTTCCAGTCCCTCCTTGCTTTGCCCAGGTGGCTTCTCTTTGGGGCTTATCTTGTTCTTCATTTATTGCTGTTATTGAATGATTATTTTCACAAGGGCCCAGGGGCAAAATGGTGTCCTTTCTCTTAAAAGCTGTGTTTTTCTGTGACTTCTTTTGGGATTTCCACTCTTCTCTTGGTATCTGGGTAGCAGAGTGGTTATCCCAAGCAAGGGGACCCAGCAGCTTGGAGGGAATCTTCTCAGAGCTTTCTGTTGCCCATTTCAGAAAGGGCACTTTTCCAGGTCTATTTGTTTTATTCAATTTAATAGGTCCCTGTGTTTTCTGAAGAAAGATCTTTTCCATGAGATCCAGGTGGCCAGGAGAATCATTGCTAGTTTTTGTAGGTAAAGAGTCTTGATGAACATGAACTTTAGGCAGTAATTCAACTTTGCCAGATGTTTTAGACAAGCCTGGTTTCAAGAGAAGAGTGTTTTCAAGTTTCTTGTACGGGGGTTGGTTTGTGGCACTTTTCCCCATGGAGCTGAACTTTCCTTGACCTCCAATCATTTCTAAGGTTAGGAAGGCTAAAGAAAGGTTATTTCTTTTGGCTTCTTGTAAGAAATGACTCCTTTCTTGGACCCTAGAACTCCTCTCCCTAAAGGTATAATTACAGGCTGATGCTGGAAGATGAGAGGAGTTGTCTTGGGATGGGATCTTGGTCAGATCTGTATGTCTAATTGATGGAAATGCTGATACTTTTGCAATAGGTAATGCAGAATCATTCATTTGAATAAGGCCATGAATCCTCATAGAACAATCTGATAGGAGGGACTGAGTAATGGCTCTTTTTTCTTTCTCATTGTACTCTATCTTTGTGAGGGTGCCCTGGGTCAAATGGTTCATGTTTTTGGACCACTGGGTTGAGGTGTCATTCAAAATTACCCACCTTTCAAATTTTATTTCTTCTAGTGAGAGTCTGGGTTCTTTCAAAGCCCGCTTACCACGTTGAGTGATAAGATGCTGACTTGGATTAGGAGACATCCTTGTAGTGCTTGGAAATCCCTCTACCATTTGCTTTGTTTGATTTCCCAGGCCTCCCAAGTTTGCTTCTTCCCTTATTTTTGAGAAGTTGGCCATGTGAATCCCGTCTCTATGTGCTGAATCATTTAATGACCTGGTGTCTTGAAGTATTGGAGTATATGGCTGCTCATCTAAACCTTCTACATTTTGCTTAGTGCTTAGTAAGAAAAGGTTCTTCAGGAAATTCTTAGTGCCAATCACTGTATATACCTGAGGCAAAACCATATTCTCTTGGGTTAATTTTTCCTTTCTTTCTATCTCTTCCTGAGATTTTTTTTCTTGATTGTATGTATCATTTTCTTGGACATTAGCCAAATTAGTAAAAAATATGCTCTTGCTCTTTGGAAAAATAATCTCTTTGAGTCCTATGTCCTTTGTAAATTCATCCTCTCCTATTACCACTTTCTCCTCTGACAAAAAATTCTTATCTTTCACAGATTTTTCTGATCCTAAAGATGTTAATTGTTTTGGACTGGGCCTTTGCTCAGAGCTTAGGGAGTTCTTGCCATGGGTCCTTTTTAACCAATTTGCTGAATCTGGCAAGAACGGTATCTTGAAGAATGATAGATCTGGATTTTCTGTACCTAGTGGCACAGGGCCTTCTTTTCTTTGGTGGGCCATTTCCACATTTTTTGATGAAGTGGTTTTATTTGACACATGATTTAGCCCCAAAGCTGTAATATTTCTGTCCATAAATGTTTCATTATGAATCAAAGAAGTCACTTCTTGTAACTCAGTATTACTTTCTAATATAGCATCTTGCCAGACTGATGTACTGTTCTCAATAAATAATGTTGGGACATCAACATGAGTCTTTCTATTAATTGTTGAGTTAATTGATGTCTTGTTTGTCTTTACCAAAGAGATATTAACTTTGAATAAAGCATTATCTTTGATTAATGAAGCAGGTCCACGAACTCTTTCTTCTTTAAATAACCTATTACTCTCCATTGATAATACATTTTCTCCCAGTGAACTTTCTTGACTATTCATTAAAGCTGCTTCTAACAACTTGGAATCATTATCTCCTTCACTCAAGCCCAAAGGTACACCAGACTGAATAAGGTGAGATGAATTTTTGCCAAATACAATGGTACCTAAATGACTATTAAAGTGAACTGACATATTTGGGGGTTCTAAGGAATCTGTCTTTTCAGGACTTGCTGCCAACTTGTCTGATGGAATTGTTGGTGAAGTCATTAGACTGTCTGATGAACTAGAAATCTTTAAATCAGGTTTATTCAACTCTACTGTTACAGTTGTCCCCAAATTCTCATTTAATCTTAATTGCAGTTCTGGCTTAGGAGTAAATACTCTGTCCCCACTGTGATGGAGCTCTGGTCTGAGACTTGCCACTTCAGATGGGGCCTTGTTTCCTTCTATTGCTCCAAGTAAATAACCATCAGCTTCATGTGTGGCTTCTTGGAGATCAGATAAGAATAATCCATGTGGAGTAGGATTCTGTCCCAGCAGCATCAACAAATCACGAGAGGAGACACTCTGTGCTTTAAGCAGCGGTGTTCTTTCTGCAGACTGAGGGTCAATCTTCTCTATGTCATTTTCTGGAGTTGTGGTGGCTTTGAATTGCTTTTGCTTGGTGCTAGGATGCCTTGACTTCTGGGAGAAGCTTCTGGGTGCAATGACATTGTTTTCATTCAGCAAGGAAATTGGAACATCTTCATATGTGTCCTCATAATAATCACCAATGTTCCTGTTACAACTAGAAACCTTCAGTAAGGCTGTCATGCCTTTGTTCCGAAAGTCTGAGTTGTGGCACCCCAGAACCCACAGACCTGGAGATGAGGAAGAATAAGACTCTGGTTACTTACAACCCAGGTCCCAAGCAAGTTCTGTATTAGTGGTTCTCTTCTATTCCCAGATAATGAAAAAATACTAGTCAGTATCATTTTATTACAGGTCATCAGGTAAAATCCCTGGCACAAAAACAGTCCAACAATGGTAGTGAAAGTGGTTTTTGCATTGCTGCTATTGGGTATATCTGTCTGTAATTACAAGAAAGGCCTTTGATTAAAAATGGATATTGGGATAAAAATGGAGAAATGTAATTAACATACACATTAGTAGAGAGTCTTTTTTTAAAATAGATTTTATTTATTTATTTGAGAGAGAGAGAGAGAGCACGCAAGCATGAGCTGGGGGGGGAGGGGCAGAGGGAGAGGGAGAGGCAGACTACCTGCAAGCAGGGAGCCTGATGCAGAGCTCGATCCCAGGACCCTGAGACCATGACCTGAGCCGAAGGCAGATGTTGAATTGACTGAGCTACCCAGGCGCCCCCAATAGTGGAGTCTTAATAGTCACACAGAAATCTTTTTTTAAAAAGATTTATTTTTTTTATTTTAGAGAAAGTGTGCATGTGAGCTGGGGGAGGAGCACAGGGGGAGGGAGAAGGAAGGGGAAAGAATCTCAAGGAGACTTGGTGCTGAGTGCAGGGCCCGACATGGGGCTCGATCTTACCACCCTGAGATCATGACCTGAGCTGAAACCAAGAGTAGGATGCTTAACTGACTGAGCCACCCAGACTCCCCCACACAGAACTCTTTGATGATGATAATGACTTAATTCATGAAACTTTATGTAGGCTAGCTATGGCACAGGTTCTCAGAGTCGGATTGCCTGGGTTTAAATTCTAGCTCTACCATTTACCAGCTGTGTGACTTTGAGCAAGTCAACTGAGCTCTCTGAGCTCCAGTTTTCTAATTTATAAATGAGGCTAATAGCATCTATCCTATCATATAAAGTATTCAAATCATATAACACAATGACTAGCTTCCACTGTCATCAATTTGCAGGATAAGTAAGCACAAGGGAGTAGGACTTAGGTTTAGGATACACATAATATAAAATTCCACTACAGGGCTAGCAATATTAATTTCTACTATGAACAGGATTATTCAAGTGAAAGAATTTCATAGTGGTAAAGTAGATACATAAACATAAGTTAAAAAAAATACACATTTACCAAGCAACCCATCAGGTACCTTAACAGTCTCATCATCTTGCATGACATTTGCAAGCAAAATCTTAACTGAATCCAGCTTTCCCTCAAAGGGAAAACTTTCCCCCAAGAATATTTCCATAGACACCTATAAGATAATGGGATGCCCATGGAAAAGGTTTTTATGGTCAAATGCATTTCAGAATTAATGCACATTGCACTCTGTGTGCAGCCAGATAATCAAATGGGAAATGAGAATACATTTTCTATCATACAAAGATTTAGAAAATCTACTTCTAAAGCAACCACTCTCAGGAAGTGATGAAAGTGTGTTTTCAAAACAAAGGAGTATATTGTATATTTAAAAAACAGGATGACATGGGATCCAGGAAAGAGGCACCTATGCTGAAGAAGGATGAAGAAAAGTCCCAAGTTAATAACTGATACTCAGTCAATTCTAGAAAGAACCAGCCCAGACTGGATGAGGATGCATGGGTCCAGGAGGTCAGTCTCTAAGTAAAAAGAATACACTGTATGATAAAACTCGTGAAAAAAAAAAAAAAGAGAATAACCAAAGGGAAAACATTATAATAAGAACAGTAAAACAATTAGAAGTTTCAATTAAACAAGTTATAAAAATAAGAAATGAAATCCTATTTGATTCCATAGTGAACATATGTTTGTGGATTGGGAGCCTAATTTCATAACATTTAAAGGATATTTTTGATGGTGTAAAACTAGGTTAGGTCAAAGGATACAAAAAGACAGATTCAAAGGGCTACACGTACCCTGATGCTCATGGCAGTACTATCAACAATAGCCAAACTATGGACAGACCCACATGTCCACTGACAGATGAATGGATAAAGAAGATGTGGTATACATACACAATGGAATATTACTCAGCCATCAAAAAGAATGAAATCTTGCCACTCACAATGACATGGATGGAGCTAGGGTGCATTATGGTAAGTGAAATAAGTCAGTCAGAGAAAGACAAATATCATATGATTTCACTCATGTGGAATTTAAGAAACAAAACAGATGAACATATGGGAGGGGGAAAAAGAGAGGGAGGCAAACAAACCATAAGAAACTATAGAGAACAACTGAGGGTTGATGGAGGGAGGTGGGTGGGAGATGGGCTAGATGACTGACAGGTATTAAGGAGGCACTTGTGATAAGCACTAGGTGTTGTATGTAAGTGATGAATCACTGAATTCTACTCCTTTTTAAAAAGATTTTATTTATTTATTTGAGAGAGAGCAAGCAGGGGGAGGGGAAGAGGGAGAGAGACAACCAGATTCTGTGGTAAGCACGGACCCATTGCAGGGCTTGATCTCATCCTGAGATCATGACCTGAGCTGAAACCAAGAGTCAGACGCTCAACTGATTGAGCCACCCAGGTGCCCCTGAATTCTACTCCTGAAACCAATGTTACCCTATATGCTAACTAACTAGAATTTAAATAAAAATTTGAAGGAAAAAAAACCATGTTGGGTCAGAGTAGACTAGGACTGGAGCTGAAATGAGTAATTTAAATAAGGTCTTTGACTCTTAAAATTCTACTGTTATAACTTAGACATAACCAGTTCCTTTTTTTTCCTAAGAAGGACAGTAACTGACCGAGAAAAGGGAAAATGAAACTCCATAAGCAGGTTTGGAATGACATACACCAAACTCTGAGAAGAGCCTGGGATTGGGAATAGTAGTTTAAAAAAGTTATATCTGTACTTGTTGAAATTTTGTAATGAGAACAACTTTTTGTATTACACGCATGAATAAAAGTTAATTTAAAACATTATAATTAATTAAATCTCAACCCAAGAGCTTAAAGAAGAGTTGACTCTAATGAAAAACAATAAAATAACCAAATAAAAATAAGAAATTCTACATGTACAAAATTTAAAATAAGAAAGAAGATACAGTTACAGTTGTGAAGAAAATTAAAAGAATTATAATTCCCTTGGAGACACCAGCTGCCAATCCCCTCCTCCAACTTCTGACACAGGCATAAGATGCCCAGCCAAGTTAGAGACTTACAAATATATAGACCAGTTAGTCTCCTGCCTCAGTGATATAACCGGGGCTTTCAGTGAACTAATTATTTTTGTAAGCTGTTATCAATCTTGGAATTAGTTTTTATCAAAGTAACCCAGAGAGACAGATCCCAGCTGATCACAGGTAGGTAGGAGCACATCTCAGGCTCCAATAGACAAGAGCTCTTTGGTCATCCAAGGCTAGTACAATATCCCTAGTATGGAATATTAAGCAATCTTTTAAAAATAATTATGCTTGTCTATATTTATTAGATGTATATATAGAAAAACATTGAATATATCATTAAGAAACAAAGCAGGTTACAAAACATGATATAACCACCATTCTACTATCTGTTTCCATGAGTTTGACTTTTTCTTCTTTTTTTTTTTTTTTTAGATTTCCCACATAAGTGATTCCATACAGTATTTGTCCTTGTCTGGCTTATTTCACTTAGCATAATGCCTTCCAGGTTCATCCATATTGTCATAAATGGTGGTTTCTCCTTTTTGTGGCTGAATAATATTCCATTATATATATCACATTTCCTTTATCCATTCATCCATCAATAGGCACTTAGGTTATTTCCATATATTGGCTATTGTGAATGATGCTGCAATAAACACAGGAGTGCAGATATGTCTTTGAAATCATGATTTCATTTCCTTTGGCTATATACTCAGAAGTGGGATTGCTGGATCAT